AATCTTTCGCACTTCCTTTTCTCCAAAGCCATGGAGGGTGCACAAGGGCCATTTGGCCAACAACAACAAGTCAACCACCCAACTCTTCCAACAACCCATCCTTTTCAAGCTCGGAGGCCTCTGTGCAGGAGGATATGCCAAACTCTCTCGGGGATGCCCGATCGGTGCCACGCCAACGCTGTCTCCAGCAAAACAGGAAAGAAAGCAGCACCATCAAGAATTGTAGTTTTGACCTCAGGAGTAAGGGAGTGAAGGAATTGAATCGACCAAGCTTCTTGCACATAGATCTCCATGATCTTTGCATTGATCCATCTCCCCCGCCTCCTTGTCATCTCTGAATCTTCACTGACCATCAACATCCAAGAGGCTCCACCTGCTCTCAGACTTCCAAGGTCTATTCCTCGAGAAATGGACCTGGGAAGCTTATCCAAACCACAAGCAGCGATCAATCGCTGGAACCTCGCTCTCATGGTCTGGCCTGATTGAGGCCAGAGACGACATCTAGGGTCCAAATTTTGGAAGGCGATCTGGACAACTTTCAACAACTGTGGCTGGTCAATCTTTGCGATCTGGTGGCGTGCCGCCCTGTACCTTGTCTTTGGTTCAGCTATCTGAAGAAGCCCATAGGCTATGGAGAAACCAACGTCAGATGGCAGGATCAAATCCTGCCTAGCAGCGCTCAAGACTTCTCCAATCCTTGAAAGGCTTCCCCAAGACAAGGCGATGACTCCAGCAACTCTGGTCCAGCCCCAACTCAATGAGGTAGACAACAAACAAAGCAACGCCTGCCACGGTAATGCTAAATGGTGTACGCCAAATCCCAAGCCGGCTGCAAGGATCGCCTGATCCGTGGCCTTCGGCCCGCAATACCATTTATGGTCTCAGCATAATGCCCATACGGGCGTCCTGCCTTGTAGAGCTGCCGTCCATACTTTTCCAACAACACATTGATAGCCTCAATGTCAGGCTCGCCAACAAAAAGAAGCTTCTGCAGAGAAAAGCCCTCAGTCATCAACCAATCGTCGAACTGGTCCAGAAGGCGGTCTCTGTTCTGTTGGGTCTTTCCGAGAACAGGTCTACCTCGAGGCAGGTCAAAATCAACTCGTCCAGCAGCCCTTGCCTTTTCTCTTGCGTCTCTGGGAAGCAAACGAGGGCCATGGCTTACCGCGTCTATTGTTCTTGCACTGAGGATCAAAAGAATGAACCAGAACCCAACCTTAGGGGAACCACCGACGGAACAAGGACGGAAAGAGCGAGCTCCACCTGCAATGGCCGAGCTATCCCCCTTCTCAAAATCCATACCGACGGGACATCTGTGTGGGCAGCAAGAAAATCCAAAGATGCAGACAGCAGTAGCTGGAAGAAGCAAGGACAAGGCGGCTGAAGCTGCGCTGAAATCCAAGCCGCGTAGATTCCACACAACCAACGGCACGGCCAGAGAAAAGCTGAGGCATCTCACAGGGCCTGTCAGGAAGACATAGTTGCACCATCTGCTGAAGCTGTTATAAGGCCCCTCTCCTGGGTAGCCGCAGGTGAAGTCAAAGTCCCAATCACCGGAAGAGATACCTCCGGATGATCTGTAGCCATGTCGTGCCGGATGATGCTTCACTGCAACATGGCTGAATCTCCAACTCTCGGAAGAGCCGAACCAGGGAGGCAATTCAGACAGCAAGAGAAGACACAGTCGAACCCAATTGGATTGATGTCTCCTGAGCCCGGATACCTGCATCAGGTCATAGAGGGCATCTTCATCTTCATCGCCTTTGAGAAAGGATAGACTCGGTTTTGGCATTTCTGCATCTCTGCTAGGATGATCTGCCGGCAAGAGTCTAGTCGGGCCAAAGTGGTAAGAGGGATAGAGACATCCTGCAATCAATGTAGCCCCAGCCTTCCTCATCACAGGTCTGAGCCCATAGGATGGAGACCTTCCTTTCACGAGGGAAGATAAGCTCACGTTAGAATCCATGGCCGTGACAAAGCGACACCTCGGGCTCGATACGGCAAGCTTTTTGAAGAGGCAGACAGCGGCAAAGGATTCCTGGATGTTGATGTGTCTTGGAGACTTCCACCTCCAAACTTTCTCCTCCTCCCACTTGCCACCAAGCAGGAGGTCATTGCAAAGAGGGGTTTCGAGTCCTTTTAGCTCCTGAGACTCATAGTGACCCTGGGAGAACTTTTGTTTCAGCGCACGATCGAAACTACCTGCCAGGGCTTCTGCTAACTCATCAGTATAGGTGGCCGAAGGCTTAGTGAAAGCTCCAGCAACAGGGATGTGGTCATGGTCCTTTGTGCAGGCACGGTGTAAGCCTTCTCCTGACATGTTGCAAAGCAAGAAGACAAACTCCTTCTGGTGGGGCGACCCAAACATGCAAGAGGATGTCCACACTTCATGAGCTCTCCCATTTTGCACAAGGAAAAGCCATTCCGCAAGCCTTCGCATCTTCGATCTCCTAGGCTGCTCCAACAAACCAGGAACGCCCAGGACAGAGGCTAAGTCCATGAGAGCCAAAGCACGCAGTGCCAATGTAGTGCCCTTCAAAGTCTTCTTCTCAGTGGGGTCAAATCCCCTCGGCTTCTCATAGCTTCTGGAAGCTGGATGTTGTGCCGGAGAAAACGTCGTGCAAGGTGGTTCAACCATGAATGAATCAAGCCAGCCTTGTTCAAGCAAGTGGAAGAGCCAACTGATCACCTTGAGGCACGCAAGGTCGTAGTGCTCGGAAGCGTCCAGATCTAAAACAGGGCCACAGATCCAACCTCGAGAGGAGACTGCTCTGGTGACCTTTCCTGCACCACCACAAATCTCTATGAAGTGGAACCTGAAGGCACGAGGTCTTTCTGGTTGTTCGGGATCTTGGATGTGACCAAAGGAGTCTTCTTCTCGATCCCAATCCAGCTTTCTCACAACCGCTTCCGCTCGGGTCAGCATGCGCACATAGCTTGACTTCTTCCTCCCTGTCCTCCACAGAATCCTCGTCATAGATGGAGAAATAGTTCTTGAAACAACTGCTCCCTTTGCGTCCGAAGAGTCAGTAGAAAACAATTTGTCCATGAAGGGGACAGCGACGTCAGTAGCACACAGCGGGCAGAGCACAGCTGCTAAAAGGACCTCTTGAGCTGCTTTCCTGGAGAGCCCGATCACCTTGGGGGCTTCTTGATTGCACTCCTCCACATCGATGACTTGGTACACCTCAGAGAAGAGCGACATGAGAGGCCTTCGATACATCAGGCAGCTTGTCCAGCCTCCAATCAGGCAAGCC